TGAGGTTAGAAGAGCAGATCCAGGATCTGGAGGCGGAGTTATCTGGATTAAACGAGCAGGTCATTGCCTTGAAGGCCGAGGAGGTGCGACGACAATCACAGCCATCCACGTCTCATACTTCTGCCGATCCCGGCGTGCCGCGGGAGTTGTACGAGATATGGGTTCACATCGAGGCTCAACTCGACGTGTATAAGTCTTTGAAAACCATCGGGAAAATTTCAGAAGCAGAACTCGAGGGCGTCCGTGTTAAGGCACGTACGGCCCCTGAAGCTTGTGGTTACGCCCCTGGTACGCCCGGTGAGGATGATGTTGATGATGATGCGGATATGCTTGACTCCGATTCTTGGTATGATGATGGGTATGCCCTTTGTAAAAAGTATTGTAATTTGACAGTTGTAATGGAACAACCCCCTTTTTGCTATATGTTTCTTGATTTCCGTTCTCTTTTTTTTGCTATGTGGGGGATTCCTTGATCTTTTGATAAGATCGATGTTCGACGTGGTCGAACATTGAAGGTTTCGAACGAGGACGAATATTAAGTAATTCGAGCGAAGTCGAATGTAAAGTAATTCGAGCGAGGTCGAATGTAAAGTAATTCGAGCGAGGTCGAATGTAAGTAATTCGAGCGAGGTCGAATGTAAAGTAATTCGAGCGAGGTCGAAAGTAAAGTAATTCGAGCGAGGTCAAAAGTAAAGTGATTCGAGCGAGGTCAAAAGTAAAGTAATTCGAGCAAGGACGAATGTAAAGTAATTCGAGCGAGGTCGAATGTAAAGTAATTCGAGGGAGGTCGAATGTAAAGTGTGAAAAGACTTGGTGGAGAGTAAAAATGCTGCTTTATTTCATCATTGGAGAATATCACATGTGTCTCGTTTGTTTCATACATATATTGGAGAAGTTTCCATGTATCCAGTCCCTTCATCGTTCGGCTTGGAGAAGTAGTCGGCAGGCGGGGTGATGAATTATACTTAATCTTCGAGACGTCCCCTTTGTCGCCTCATTAAAAATCTCCCCGAGAAAACCCAATTGTGACAAAACAGGGGTGAGGGAAAAATAGTACGACGTGGAGGGCGTCTGACTTCCGAAGTTGAAGTATTTGAGATGGGCGACGTTCCAATTGTTTTGCAGTAGCTTTCCCTCCATTGTTTCTAGTTGGAATGATCCTTTGTTTACTACTGCCGTGATTTTGTATGGCCCGTCCCAATTGGTTCCTAGTTTGACTTCTCTCAAATCTTTGCTCGCTTGTGTTTTGGCCTTGAGAACATAGTCTCCAACTTTGGGTGGTCGTATTTTGGCTTTTTTGTTGTAGTACCGTTCTGCTTGTTGATTTTGGGCTACCATTCTTATGTAAGCCATGTCTCTTCGCTCCTCTGCTTCGTCGAGGTCTTGTTTTCTGTTCTCGTCATTGTTTGGTCTGTTTTCATTGGAGTATCTCAAACTGGGTTCCCCGATCTCGACTGGTATCATGGCATTAGTCCCGTAGACTAGTGAATATGGTGTTTCCCCTGTGCTTGTTTCTGGCGTGGTGCGGTAGGCCCACAGTACCTCTGGTAGTAATCTGGTGGTAATTCTGGCCATAGTCCTTTGGCGTCCTCAAGATTTTTCTTCAAGATGTTCAATATTGTTTTGTTGGAGGATTTAGCTTGACCGTTACCAGCGGGGTGATATGGCATGGAGAGTATTCGCTTGATGTGCCATTTTTCGAAGAACTCGGTAGTCTTCTTTCCGGTGAATTGGGGTCCATTGCCACAGCTGATTTCTTTGGGGATGCCAAAGCGACATATGATGTTTCTCCATAGAATGTGATAACTTTCTGTTTGCGTATTTGGGTGAACGCACCTGCTTCTACCTATTTGGAAAAACATTCAGTTAAAACCAAAAGAAAATGTACATTACCTCGCCTGCTGGGTGGGGTCCAATAATGTCCATTCCTCATTTGATGAAAGGCCATGGCGATGTAACAAAGTGGAGGTGCTCGCCCGCTTGGTGTATCATAGGAGCATATTTCTGGCATTGTTCGCACTTTTGACGTAATCGACCGCTTCCTTCTTCATCGTGGGCCAATAATATCCTGCTCGAATGAGGCATCTGACGAGGTCCCGGTTGCCAGTATGGGCACCGCAGTGGCCTTCATGTACTTCCTCGAGTACGCGTCTCGTTTGATTTGGCCCTAGGCACTTCGCTAAGGGCCCCCCAAATGTTCTTTTGTATTGGTCGTGATTTATGATGCTGTACCTGGCCACCTGCATTCAAAGCTTTTTGGCTTCCTTTTTGTCTGCTGGGAGTACTCCTTCCTGCAAATATGTTATAATACGGTTGCGCCCGTCCCAAGTCAAATTTACAGAGTGTACCTCAAGTTGGTCAATTGATGAGTGGAGGAGGGTGACCATGTTTTCCTTCGTGATGTTTTTGGTGGCCGCTGCCAACTTGGCGAGACCGTCTGCCTCGATGTTTTGTGCTCGAGGTATCTGATCGAGTCGACATTCGTCGAACTCTGGTAGCAATTTATGAATTTCTGCCTGGTACTTTTGTAGCCTCTACGCTTTGATTTGGAAAGTCCTTGTGACTTGGTTGACAACGAGTTGCAAGTCGCATCTAAGGACGATTCGTCGCGCTCCGTATTTGAGAGCTAGCTTTAATCCTGCAATTACGGCCTCATACTCGGCCTCATTGTTAGTCATATCAGGGCACCGTATGGATTGGCGAATGACTTCACCTGTTGGGACCTCGAGTATAAGTCCCAGTCAGATCGTGACACGTTGGATGCGCTGTCGGTGTATAGGACCCATAGGTCTGGTAGACTAGAGAAGGTACGAGAAATTTCGTTTTTGACCTCAGTTATTACTTTGGCATAGAAATCGGCGACGAAGTTGGCGAGTACCTGCGATTTTATCGATGTTCGCGGCTGATACGTTATATCATGCTCGCTCAATTCTATGGCCCATTTGGCCAATCTCCCCGATAGCTCGGGTTTATGTAGGATACCTCATAGGGGAAAGGTCATTACCAGCGATGTGGGGTGGCATTGAAAATAGGGTCTAAGCTTTCGTGAAGCTATGACTAATGCCAAGGACAATTTTTCGAGGTGAGGGTAACTCGTTTAGGCGTCGACGAGAGTTTTTCTAATATAATTGATAGTAGACGATAATTATGCAATTTAGATACTATTTACACTCTAATTTGGCCGCACTTTATCAATATTTGAATGTTAAAGATAACAAAGTGCTCTAATTGAGAGTTTTACGTTTTGTAGGAGACACTCCGAGCTAGGAGGAAGCTAAAGAGTGTTTTGGAGTCAATATGAAGCGTGAAAGGCCAATTGGAGGATAGCACGATCGAAAAGGAGAAAGAAAAGCAAGTCCTAGCTCTGCGGTCAGATCTGCGGCCGGGGATAGAACATGGGCGAAATTCGCGGTCAGATCCGCGACCGCGGACGAGCTGACGGAAGCCAATAACCCATGGTCAATTATGTAATTTCCAGGGCGACTAACCTAAACCTATATGAAGCCTAATTCATCCAAAAGAGGGGGAGAGCTGTTTTTAGAGAGAATTTGAAAGCAAGAACACGGAAGAAAGACAGAGAATTTCCTTAGAGTTTTTATCTTCTTTTTTAATTCCATTGTTGATTATGACTTTATATAGTGAATTTTTATCTATTAGCGTGAGTAGCTAAACCCGTCATCTAGGGTTGATGGAACCTATTGTTGGATGAAGTCTTGACTCTGTTTTGATATAATTGAGCCGTTTTTACTCTATGATTGTTCAACTACGTGTTGTCTTATGATTAATTGAAAAGGCCCTTGATTAATCGTGTCTAGTTATCTTGTGTTGCTTGAGAAAGAACACTTGGTTAGATTTTTGTTGAACAACACCACTTTCGGGTAAGTTAAGATATTAATTACTTGAATTTAAAAGCAGGGTTAGAGATAACGAAGCTTTGGTGGGACAATTCTGAGTTGCACAAATTGTTAACTAGAGTAGTTCGAGAGAATGCTTCTAGTAAATTATCATAATTGATCGAGAGATAATTGCGGTAACCCAGAACTCATATTTCTTATAGAGTGTTATGGCGAGAGATTATAGCTAACGTGTCAGGAATTAATCCGACAATTGGGGAAATCAATAACCCTAGACCATTTTACCATTGAATTCAACTCTATTCTTGATTATTGCTAGTTTTAGTGTTATTTTTCCTTAGTTAACTAAAGTCTGCTCATTATCCATAAAAAATCTTGCATCCGGGAATTGTTTGAGCTATTCATTAGCAGTGTTAAAAGTTGTAGTAAATAGGTTAGTTCCCTGTGGGATTCGACTCCGGACTTGAACCAGATTATATTTGCAGTGACCGCTGAGTCCTTTTTATAAGACATAGTTGGGTGTGATCAAATTTTGGCGCCATTGCCGGGGAACTAATGGTGTTATTTATTGCAACATGGAAGAATTGCTAGGATTATTAGTTAGATCAATTTTCTGTGGTGTTAAAAATATTTCCATTGAAATTGTCACGTTTGAACTATTCTGTGACTTAGGTGCATGCCTAGAAGCTCTTTGAGAACTGGTGAACTCTTTGAAGGTCTCTCAGATCCCGAGAAAGCATTCCGGACATTGAATCAGGCTAATAAGAAGAGCAAATAGCTAAAACAAAACGAACAAATTGAAATTGAAATGGGTGACATAGATAGCGTCAACGGGGACAATAGGAATGATCGAGATGACCCAAACATCAGAGTGGTAGCACCTCTTGTGCCGGAAGCTGCTCTTATGATTGGGCGCAACCAACTGCTGATAATCCGGCCACAACAATTGCGGTTCCTCAGATACAAGCGGAGACATTCCAGATTACCAACAACATGCTGCACCTGTTGCAGAATAAAGGGTTGTTCTCCGGGTCATACATCGAAGACCTACAACAACATCTAAAGAACTTTCTATCAATATGTGTCACTCAAAGACAACCGAATGTGACTCCCGAGGCAATCAAATTATTACTGTTCCCATTCTCAATGACTGGGGAGGCTCAAACTTGGCTGAATTCGCTCCCAATAAACTCTATTTCCACTTGGGAGGAACTAGTCAAGCAGTTCTTAAACAGGTTTTATCCACCCAACAAAACTGCGAGGCAGATTAATGAGATATTGCAATTCAGACAGAAACCGACTGAGACTTTGCAAGAAACCTGGAAAAGGTTTAAGGGTATGTTGGTGAAGTGTCCTCATCATGGCATTCCGGATCAGATATTGGGACAGAGATTCTATATGGGTTTGGCTGACAGTCTAAAGGCCAATGTAGATGCTTCTGCCAGGGGTGCATTCTTGAGCAAAACATTCACAGAGTGTAAGATTCTTTTTGACAAGATGTCTCAAAATTCAGGCTGGATGACGAGAGACACAACACTCACCCCAATAGTGCATTCTATCGCTCTTGACCCAAACAACACAAATGCAGAAAACATAGCCACTCTTATGACCCAGATGAGCTTGCTGACAAAGAAAATCGATGAGATGGGTACGAAACAGGTGCGCATTGTTGATACCACAAATGGAGGCTTATGCACTCCTTGCATAAACCAGTCATATATGTGCTCGTGGAGTGGAGAGAATGACAACCAAGGTTTCAGAGAAGACATGATTTATGTCAATAATTTCGGAGGTCAGAGGCAAGGTAGGCAGCAATGGGGACCAACATCAAACCAGTAGTACAGACCAAACCAGCCACAGCACAACCCCAATCCAGGAGGATCACGACCACAAGGCCAAGTCGTGCACCTTATCAACAGCAGAACAATAATATGATCGAAATTAGGGGTATGCTGCAACAACTCATTGGGACAAATGGAAAGATGCAAGAGAAGTTAGCTGCACATGATTCAGCAATCAAAGGCATTGAAACTCAATTGGGACAACTATCTATGGCCTTGAACAATCGCTCACAAGGAACATTGCTTGCAGATACAAACATTAATCCAAAGGAGTAAAACCCAAATCAGCTCATGGCAGTGAGTCTCAGGAATGGAAGAGATTTAGAAAGGGAGCAAGAAGTTGCTCAATCTAGGAGAGAGACAACGCCAACTACTCCAGTTACATTAGAGACAGATGAGTCAGCAGAGCTCACTGAGGTTGTAATCAAGCAGGCACAGGTTGACAAGGGTAAGGAGAAGGAAGGTGAATAACTCCTAGAACAGGTGGTAGAAAAAGCTTCCAGTAAATAAAAGACACAAAGTAGTGGGCAGAGGTTGACTCCTGCACCATTCCCTCAGAGGTTGGCAAAGAAAAAGAAAGATGATCAATAGAGGAAATTCATGGAAATGCTCAGACAAATTCAATTGAATATCCCACTAATGGTTGCTTTGAGGGAAATCCCAGGGTACGCAAAAATGATGAAGGACCCGATGTCGCGAAAATTTGACTTCCAGGACCTGTCCACTGTAACTCTGACGCAGACCTGCATCGCGGTAGTGACAAGGCCTATGGCTCAAAAGGTGTCTGATCCAGGTAGTTTCACTATCCCATGCACCATTAGGAGTTATGCTTTTGCTAAATCGTTGTGTGAATTGGGAGCCGGTATAAACTTGATGCCCTTGGCAATCTATACTAAACCTGGCATTGACAGAGCTAGACCGACCTCAATGTTGCTGCAACTGGCTGATCGCACAGTCAAAAGACCGACAGGAATTCTAGATGATGTGCTTGTTCAAGTGGGGAAATTTGTATTCCTTGCAGACTTCGTCATTCTTGACTGTCAAGTGGATGAAGAGATACCAATCATTCTGGGAAGACCGTTTTTAGCCATTTGGAGAGCATTAATTGATTGTGAGACTGGAGAATTGAAAATGAGGTTGAACAATGAAGAGATAATATTCAATGTTCAACAATCTATGAGGAGACCCAGTGAATTTGCAAATTGCTCACTAGTGGAGGCCGTAGATATAATACTACAAGAGGAGGATGAGACTATTAATGTCAGGGATCCGTTAGAAGCCTGCTTGATGAATCTGGAAAATGTGGATGGTGAGGAGTTGGCAGAGTGGGTCATGGCTCTTAAAGGTCAAGGGTTTTGGAAAAGGGAACCCCAGTTAGAACCCCTACACTTAGAAGAAAGAACACCACCACCTGCGAAACCATCGATAGAGGAGCCACCACAGTTGGACCTGAAATCGCTCCCAGCTCATCTCAGGTACACATTCTTAGGGCCTAATTCTACTTTACCTGTTATTATATCATCCAGTTTGCTATCTGTGCAGGTTGAGCAACTCCTACAGGTGTTACAGGAATATAAGACTGCTATTGGTTGGACCATGGCAGACATAAAGGGTATCAACCCAGCTTTTTGTATGCATAAGATTCTCTTGGAAGAAGGGCACAAACCTTCCAGAGAACATCAACGAAGGCTAAACCCAAATATGAAAGAGGTGGTGAAGACGAAAGTGATCAAATGGTTAGATGCGGGTATCATCTTCCCCATCTCTGACAGCAATTGGGTTAGCCCTGTTCAGTGTGTGCTGAAGAAGGGAGGAATGACGGTCATACAAAATGAAAATAAAGAGTTGATCGACTTGTACAATCACGGGGTGGCGGATTTGCATGGATTATCAAAAATTGAACACAGCCACTCGGAGGACCATTTTTCCTTGCCATTCATATACAAATGCTGGACAAGTTGGCTGGGGATCTCACTTCTATTTCTTGGATGGATATTCGGGGTACAATCAGATCTTAATAGCCCCCGAAGACAGAAATAAAACATCCTTCACCTGTCCGTATGACATCTTTGCCTTTCGGAGAATGCCTTTTGGACTTCGCAATGCACCGACTACATTCCAGCGGTGTATGTTAGCCATTTTCACGGACATGGTTGAAGATATTATGGAGGTATTTATGGATGATTTCTCCGTGGTGGGGGATTCATTCGAGGACTGTCTTCACAATTTAAGAAGAGTGCTCAGAAGATGTGTGGAGAGAAATTTAGTGCTGAATTGGGAGAAGTGCCATTTTATGGTACAAGAAGGGATAGTCTTGGGGCATAGTGTCCAGTAAAAGAATTGAGGTTGACCATCCTAAGGTTGACGTTACTGAGAAGTTGCCACCGCCCACTTCAATCAAGGCAATGAGAAGTTTCCTTGGGCACGCCGGGTTCTAAAGGCGATTCATAAAAGATTTCTCTAAGATTGCTAACCCTTTATGTAAACTCCTTAAAAGGATCAGCCCTTTGTGTTTTCTAATGATTGCAGGTTGGCATTTGAGGAGTTGAAGAAAAGATTGGTGATTGCACCCAACTTGGAGAAACCGTTCGAGCTCATGTGCGACGCAAATGATTATGCTATAGGAGCAGTCTTGGGGCAGCAAAAGGATAAGTTGATGCACCCAATGTACTATGCAAGCAGAACGCTAAGCGGTTCACAACTCAATTACGCTATGACGGAAAAAGAGATATTGGTTGTAGTTTTTGCATTCGACAAATTCAGGTCGTACCCGATTGGTTCAAAAGTTATTGTTTGTACTGACCATGCAACAATAAGGTACTTGATAGAAAAGAAGGAGTCAAAGCCACGCTTGATCCGCCGGGTTCTTTTGCTACAAGAATTCGATCTGGAGATCCGTGACAAAAAAGGGACAGAGAACCAAGTAGCAGACCACCTCTCAAGCTTGGAAGGAGCTGAAAAGAAGGTAGAGGTTGAAGATATAACAGAGACATTCCCGGATGAACAGTTACTAGCCGTGACAATGAAGGAGATGCCATGGTATGCTGATATTGCTAATTATTTAGCAAGCGGTATTGTACCTTATGAACTCTCTTCAATCTAAAAGAAAAAGTTCTTTCACGATTGTCGGTCTTATTATTGGGATGAACCTCTACTTTTTAAAATATGTGTAGATAACATGATCCGGAGGTGTATCCCCGAGAAAGATCAATATTTTGTTTTGTAGGCTTGCCACGCTTCACCATATGGTGGACACTTTGGAGGAATTCGGACAACGGCTAAGGTGTTGGAAGCGGGTTTGTATTGGCCAACTCTGTTCAAGGATGCCCATGCTTGGGTGAAAAGTTGCGATGAGTGCCAAAGGACAGGCAATATATCTCGACGTCACGAGATGCCGATGACTAATATTCAAGAGGTGGAGGTATTTGACATGTGGGGGATTGACTTTATGGGGCCATTCGTTAGCTCGTATGGTAACAAATACATACTGGTGGCAGTTGACTATGTCTCCATCTTAGCAATCTAGGTCTAACGTCTTTCTTGCAAAAGGAGTATCCATCTTAGCAATCTAGGTCTAGCGTCTTTCTTTGCTAATAGATACTTTAAGGCTGCATAATTGCTGAACACTGTAACCTTTGTTCCTATCAAATAAGAACGAAATTTGTCAAACGCAAATACTACTGCCAATAACTCTTTCTCGGTTGTTCCATAATTCATTTGAGCTTCATTGAGGGTTCTGTTGGCATAGTATATGGGTCTAAAGATCTTATTTTTCTTTTGTCCCAATATTGCTCCTACTGCTATATCACTTGTATCACACATTATTTCAAATAGCTGGCTCCATTCAGGAGAAACAACAATTGGAGCATTAGCCAATTGTTCTTTGAGAAACTCAAATGCATTTCTGCAATCATTTGAAAATTCAAACTTCACATCTTTCATTAGAAGGTTAGTCAGAGGTTTTGAAATTTTTGAAATGTCTTTTATAAACCTTCTGTAAAAACCTGCATACCCTAAGAAACTTCTAATACCTTTAACAGTGGTGGGAGGGGGTAATCCTGCTATAAGATCAATTTTAGCCTTATCAACTTCTATTCCTTTAGCAGTGATTTTATGTCCTAAAACAATTCCCTCTGTTACCATAAAGTGACACTTTTCCCAGTTAAGAACAAGATTTGTCTCTTCGCATCTTTTAAGCATCAAAGTTAAATGATAGAGACAATCTTCAAATGTATTACCAAAAAGTGTGAAATCATCCATGAAAATTTCAAGAAACTTTTCAGTCATATCTGAGAAAATTGCCGACATGCAACGCTGAAATGTAGCAGGAGCGCTACATAGTCCAAATGGCATTCTTCTATAAGCATACGTATCTTGGGGGCATGTGAATGTAGTTTTCTCCTGATCTTCTGGAGCAATTGGTATCTGATTATACCCAGAATATCCGTCAAGAAAACAATAAAAACTATGGCCTGCAATTCTTTCAAGCATTTGGTCAATAAAAGGCAAAGGAAAATGATCTTTCCTCGTGACATCATTAAGTCTTCTATAATCAATACAGACTCTCTATCCTGTGACTGTTCTAGTAGGTATAAGTTCATTATTTTCGTTTTTTATTATGGTCATACCTCCTTTCTTTGGTACTACCTATACAGGACTTACCCAAGGGCTTTCAGATATTGGATAAATGATACCTGCCGCTAGTAGTTTCACTATTTCTTTCTTGACAACTTCTTGCATTGCTGGATTCAGTCTCCTTTGGGGTTGGACTATAGGTTTGTAATTTTCTTCCATGAGGATCCTATGCATACAAATAGCTGGATTGATTCCTTTGATGTCAGCTATAGTCCACCCTAAAGCTCTTTTATGTTTCCTCAAGACTTCTATCAGTTTGTATTCCTGTTCTGGAGTCAAAGAAGATGAAATGATTATTGGAAATGATTCAGGTTCAAGAAAAACATATTTTAAATGAGAGGGAAGATTTTTGAGTTCAATTTTTGATTGAACTTCTTCTTGTGAGACTTTCTCATTTTCTGATTCTTTTTCTAGTATTTCATCTTCTTCTCTGATTGTGGGATTTTATCACTTGTGGTACCTGACCTGACCAAACATCTTTCCAATGAATCAATAATTAATTGATTATCCTTGAATTCGTCTACAAGGTCATCTAGTAAGTCAATTTGAAAATAAGATGATGATGACTCTTTCCAAGGAATATCATCATTTTCTGCATATCAAAAATTACTCTCTCCTCATCAACTTGCAATATTAATTGT